TAGTAACGACGTAATTACGTACCGTAAAAGTGCATATACAAGATCCCCCATATATCAGACCCACCCTTATTTTTTACTAATTGTTTTCTTTTTTTTACTAATTAATTTTTCTGGTGGAATGTAAGAGACCCGGGTCTTGTATATGCACCTTTGCAGTAGTTTTTTAATTTGTAATCGTTAGGGCATATTTCTGCTAACCCGACTTTATCTAGTTTTTTTGTCCCGCCCTTTCTCACCTTATGAGTGGCTTAATGAGCGAGTTTTCATTAAATCAGAATCTTAAAGTTTTTAGCAGGCGGCTGTCGGGACGACAGTCACAGAAGAATCCTCACTTTGGTACGCGAGATGACAGTCACAAGGTTATCGCATCCGCACGCATTGCGCCCAGGTAGATATTGTCTTGATAGAAAGAGCGTAATGAATCAATAGTCGTTGCTTTAGTGTGTATCAGTTGGTTTGCCTGTCGGACGACTATCAAATATTACTTTTTAATAGATGGCCTGTCAAGACGATAGTCACAAAGGATTATCGTTTCTTGTTCGTTTTACGCTCGGGTAGGTATTGTTTTGATAGCTAGATCGTAATAAATTAAAAAGATTAGAGATTGCCGGTTGAAATGGCAGTCAAGAATTTAGCCTCACAGTTAAAGGGACTTTATCAGTACATTTTATCGATACTCTCAAATTCTGCACTTTGTTTGGTATTTGCAAGGACAGAATACCTGTAATTATATTTCATTGTTTTCACACACACCTCGATGAGGGACAAAATTTTTGATGGCATTATTTAATATTGAATAATTAGAAATTATATTTCTTATAAGGTTAAAATATCAATATTTTTGGAAATTTAATATATGCTACAATTTAACCTACTTGTCCCTGGATAATTAAATTTAATTACTTTTCATTTTATTTCTAGTTAGGTTTTTCAGGTCAAGTTCGTTGTCTAACTTCTCTTGGCTTGGCTGCACTTATATGCCAGTTATTTGCTAAATAGTAATGTAATAGTATTTTTTTTTTATCATTATGTTTTTATAATTATTGTATAAATAAAACTCAGTCCTAATTCTCACCAAGATCACGAGTGCCAAAGGCCAATTTTATTGGTTACTGCCCATTTTAGGAGCATGTTGTAAAAGAATCACACATTATTACTATATACTTTTTTTTTTTTGTATATATACAAACCCGTGACTAACCCTTTTTCCTCTTAGGCCGTTTTATTTTGGTTCTGCCATCTGCACGAAATAAAGTGCTTTGTGTACGTTAGGTCAATGACAAAGTTTCTATCATAAGAAAATAATAATTAAAGATACATTCCTTAAAAAAAATAAATAAATAAAATTCATTCCAACGCATGCCTCCTGAAGATAACATGATAACTACTAAACAAAATCCTGTAGCAAACAATGATGTCCCATGTGAAGATGATATTTATGCAGACAGGGCTCTTTCTTCTAATGATAAAGACCTTCAAGATGAGGAATTAGAGTATGCTTATGACTCTACCCTGGAGATTGTATCCCTCCCGGTTAATGTATTTAAGGGTAATAAGTTACCTTCCAATGAAGGACGAAAGTTGTTCCAAAATATCTCATGGAATAAACAGGTCAAATTCATACTACTGTTCATGGATAGGCAGCTGTCCCAAAAGCTTTTAAAGGAGACAAAAGCTACTGACAAAGTATTTTCAAAAATATCTTACCTTATGTTGGTAGCTCTTAGACTGTTGAATTATACTCTTAAAACCCTTTATGACACAAAATCTTCAGATGATAAAAAAAAAACCTTAAAGGTTTGAGAGCTGTTGAAACAGTCTACCCTGGCAACTAGGTCATTATTGCTAGACATGATATCTCATACTATTTAGGTTAGAAAAGACTTGGCAATCAAAGTTATTATTCCTTTCTATCAACTCAAGACCAAGCATGAGAAGTTGTTTGGTGAAGAATTTGCTAATTATGTTAAAAAGGAAAATGAAATCTTGAAATTCTTTAATAATGTAGCATAGCAAAAAAGAAGATCAAATCAACTCAATCGAAAAAGCAGCCAAAAAACAAACAGAAATTTTTATGCTAACAACAGAAACAGAAGTAGAGAAAGATGATATTATAAAGAGTTCAGATTCTTAAGTTACAGGCAGAATTTTCAAAGCGATCTCCAAAAAAAGGTCAGTCTTAGCCCAAAAATTAAATCTAAGGTTTGGTGAAAGATTGAGAGCTTTTTTGAGAAACTGGCAAAGTTTTTTTGAGGATTCTTG